CACCCACCGCGAGAGATGTTGAGATCAGCGTGTATTGATGTAGAGATCAGCGTGCTCTCTCAGACTTTGATCACCCTATCCCGCCATCGTACCACATCCGACCTTCATTGAAGGTAAGGCCTCGATTTCAATTGTTCCCAAAGAGTTCCCTCGCTTTCCTCACCACTTTCAGGTCGTTCCGCAGCTAAGCTATCACTACGAAGCTCTCTTAGCACCAATTTACTCCCGGATTTTGCCTGAGGCGATCGGTTGTGAATTACGTGATTGCAACTGGGCCATACCTTATTCTGTGATTGACCTACAAGTATTCGAATAAATAAATAAGTATTGGCTGGCCCCGTAAATCATTTCGTGGGCCGAATTGCGTCGAGACGCTAAGAGACTCGTGTTATACAGTGCGGCGTAGAAGAAAACCGAAAAGATTTTGGTGTAGCTTGAACAATGACAGTGATTTCAGGTGTTCTCCGCCTCTCAACATGGCGGGGGAACCGTCGTCACCCCACGGCCGCTCGTCAACTATTTCATTCTGCCCACATTTATTCTTCATGTAGTTGGACTAGCCTGCCTCTGGGCACTTTGGTACTACCTTCGGTAAGTCTCCTAAGATTTTTTAGCTGATTTTGATTTGTTCCATATCGTAAAGTCTCTTCATAGAGTCGATGTTTGTTGTCTCATGCAGCGATCAGAGCAGCGAGAATCGGCGGATATCGCCACTAGCCTTCTTGCTTTTATACTTCTTTCCGTCCGGCTATGCTACCGTATCCGCGCATTTTTTTGCTTCGTTGGATTTTTTACGGAGTTCGCTATGAGCCCAAAATTGTCTGAGCTTACTGAAAGGTCTTCGCGTTTTCCTCACGCTAAATATCAAACTCATCCGTTGCCAATAAGAAGCGCTACCCTCAGGTGTAGCTGCTCGTTTAGGCCGATGTCAGACTTTGCGAATCGCGCGATTCGCTCGCGGCCAGTGAATCACTCAATTGGCTGGTACCGCAACGCGACCGCGGACGCTAGCGAATCGCGCGATTCGCAAAGTCTGACATCGGCCTTAGGAGGTTTGCAAAAATGCAAGAGGAGCTAATTTTCGTAACTTTCTTTGGTAGAAAGTTTAAAGGGAATCATTTAAATTGCGTAAAAATTGTTATTGGTGTGACGCGGTGTGATGTGAGTTATGCGAGCATGTGGCCAAGAAGCATATTGTACGGGCACCCTTCCAAAATTTCAGTTTTCAGATTCACCACAGTCTTTCCTTTCCATCATCGCGTGTTCTACTGCCGAGATGTGCATTTATATAAGCCAAATTATGTGCCTGAAGATTTCAACGTCTACGTGTCCTATCCACTTCTCTACTGCCTTGGATTCATCCTACCACCACTTGTTGTGAGTTTGAGCAGTTCTTCTGGCTGTTTTGGCTTTACTCATGGTATAGCAGACGTTTTATTGGGAAAATACAACGCATAGTTTGATATTCAATTTTTTTTCTAGTGCGCTTCACCGGCTTGTTTTCCTGAGCAAAATGTGGACGCGTTTTTTTCATAGGCTGAACCTTTGACATTCTCGTATTTGAATGTTGAGTGCTATTTGGGGCCGCAGTCCTCCCTGCGAAAGCTACCACAAGAATGCTGGTTATGAGCAAAACTTTTTGCCTCAGCAACGCAACTGCTCACTTAGGCCGTGTGCAGAGGTACCGGGTCGGGGACAGCTCCCCAAAACTTTGCCTATCTGGACGCTTCCCCCTATTTTTGACCATAGGCATTGCGCTATCGACCGGAGTAAAGGCGCCAATATTTGGGGATCCATCCCCGACTGAGTACTGCTGCACACAGCCCCAGCTCCAGAGGTGCTAGTTCGTTTCTAGTGTGGAAGTAGGGGTGCTAACTTAGTTGGGGGGGCCACGCGGCGGCGCGGCAGTCTGCTCGCCTGGCATGTTCGGAAATCCGTGGGCCAGGGGGAGTGTAGGCAGTCTAGGGGGGTGGGGGGTGGGGGCAGTCACTTGACATGCGTGAAAAGCTGGAATGTTCGAGTTTACACTGTCTCGCTCGAGAGAGCCCAGGTGAGCAGACTGCCGCGCCGCCGCGTGGCCCCCCCAACTACGTTGCACCGCAGTAGGCCTGACCACGTGTTATTGTGATCTCTTTTAAAGTGTCTCTTACACAGCTCTAAAACTTATAGCATAGGTCGCCTTGCATACACTGTCAGGTAAGAAGGGGCCATTCTTTACTGCTCAGAACCCAGCTTGAGCAGTTATTGGTTAATTACAGTAATATTGCTCCGCTCTATCTTGGGTAGCCCATTTCGTAATACTTTTTGTCTGTGCCACAACCGTCGAGGTGGTTTCATAAAGTATGATCTTTGGCTTCGATAGCATTGAGTGTGCCACGCATTCCACTTCCTACTCATACATGGTTGTGGTGGTGCTTGGATGATGATTCGGCTTCAAATGAGTTGCAGGGATCATCTATGCACAGGTCTTGCTTTTGTCCTCACAAACGATTCCGATGCCAAGTAGGAGTACTAAGTACGAAAAGTCTGGGTAGCCCGCGGCGAGATTCGACCTCGAGATTTTGAATAACCATTAACCGGAAACGTGTGAATGCGCCACTTACCATTTTCGCACAACAGTGATTATTTCTGTTCGCACAGATGCGGCCGTTGAAGAAGCTTTCACTATCAAAAATAGTCCCTCAATAAAGGGCACCCCCTCCCACTGTCCTCACCGGATGCTGAATATTACGGTCATCTGTATTCACCGTCGAGCTCAGGAGACCTACGTAATTGCTTATCCATCGCCTGAAGCTACGTACAATAATTCTTGAATCGACTCACTGAGATAATTTCTAGAGAATAGCTCCGAGGTGCAAGACCCCTGACCACTAGCTTTCAGATAACGTCATAATGGCCCATGATTCTTCTACGACCTCGTTGACCTCGACCTACGCACCATACTTCAGTGGCAGTTTCTTCCAATATCGTCCTACCAAGATGCATTACGAGATTGTACTTACAAAATAGAGTGTGCTCTTCAATTATTAGTCGATAATATTCGGTTTGAATTCAGCAAATTTGATCCATTCGGTTTCGATTCCTGAGACAAAATGGCTTTTTTATCAACCTCTATCCCCTATGGTTTCAGAAAAGGCCTATGCATCGGTGTAATTTTACAATCCTATTGAGTCAGTTTCCTTAGAACAGTTACCTCCGAACGTTTTCATTTTTGATAGCTCTTTATTAACCAGTCTCAAGAGCTATTACGTCTCCAGTTTGCTCGAGGAAGAACCAACCAGTTGCTGTCGCCGTGATTTGGTTTGATCGGCTTTTCTTCAGAATTTCTTCAAGACAATCGGCTACGTGAAGACAAAAAGACACCTGAGAGTCGCGTCCGATCCGCTGTATTTTCCAGCCTAATGGTCGAGATGTTCAATATTTGCGTTGCAGCTGCTTGGACCTCGAACGTCGTGTTTGGGGATTAGACGGCGATTTTGCGCCGTTCAACCGTCGTTACGTACGCATGTCCATTTCAGCGCGAACTATTCATCTTAAGGAACAACATCCAGGAAAAAATTTAATTAATTGTGAAAAACGCTGGAATTAATCATACCACTTCTCAAGCTGCAAGCTCATGTGACTTCGTTCATATTCGTCTGACGATTGATTGGGTCCGAAACACTATAAAAGCAAGCATCACTCGATGCTCTTACACTTTCGTGTCATGGATAGTAAACTAACTGGGAGTACCTCAAAACCCAAAGAAAAGGCAGTCTGATGTCCAACTCTTGCCGCCCTACTTCGCTCGGTAGAACTTAAAGGCAGTGTCACTGATTCCAAGTTAAGATAAGTGACTCGAACGTCATTAGTGACCAATACCCTCCATTCGGCGTTGGGGGTGTGGTTTGACCGCCCCTCAACACGTCCTTCCGCCAATTATTGGTCGACGTCATCAAAATTGCACCGCCTGTCAGCTTTCGTGATTGCTGCCTGTGAGCGGAAAACTCACAAGCACTACCTTTTCTCGCCCCCGCATTGAAACTCCCTTCCATAGTGGTTCCAATCAAGGCCAAAAAAAGCGATACCAATACGCCTATGCAAATGAATGAAAATAAGGATGCATTCGCCGTTGATCAATCCCGTTTTGGGATGCGGCACGCATTCTACTTCCATTTGTACATTCGTAGTAGCGTTTGAAAGCGATGTGGCCTATACAATGACTCGCGGGGGCTAGCCGATGTTCAAGTCAGTGTTTTTATACTCCCAGACAACAAGTCTAGGTAAACCATAAATCCCGACATCGGAGTTATGGAGACCCAGGCGAGCCCACGACCAAGATTCGATCCCCGCACCCGCCGCTGTGGAATGTGCTACTATGCCACTAACCCATGCCATCCGCCACTTGCAATGATAGATCATGAATATGCATTTCGATGTTCTATGATTCAAAAGGGCTAAATAAAATAGAAACCGTGAAATTAGGGCTGAGAAAATCATGAGATTCGACATCATCCTACATAATTATAACGGCTAAGCGCCGTTGTGTGTTGGTGTGTGTGTGGTCTGACCGGAAATTCATAGGCGCCCTTCGGTGCATTACAGTGGAGCGCATATACTTTTGAACCAGATTAGTCCCCCGTCAACCGCCGGGACCTTCCTTTCCTGCGCAAGCTTTCTATCCTCCGCTATGGTCCCTTCCTCCTGTGACACCAACACCTCCTGGAAGTGACGCGTATGCAACACAATGGTGTTTCATACAGTAGAAGGGACACAATCATGATATGACGGTAGATTTTTCGCTTCCCTTCCTCATCCTCCCTTCCTCTCTCCACTGCCCTCCAGCTGCCACTGCAGCACCATGTGGAATGAACGGAAGTGTGCTAAGCAGGTGTTTATATAGCCCTAAGAGTGTTATCACAACTATCCTGCTACAAAACATTGATATCTCAAATCCTGTAAGCTACCCGATTTGTTAGCGGTTTGTTTATCCCATGAGCTTCCTTCTCACTCACTTCATTTTGCGGACGGACACACATACACACACACACACACACACACACATACAGATACACAAACCGACACACAAAGTTAGCGCTTTATATAATAGAAGGATATGTTGTAGGGGTGGGACGGGAACATATTTGGTGGGGGACCCAAAGTGATAACGACTGATAAGATCCGATAAGAGGCGCCAAAACGCCGATTCCACGATATCCATAGCGCGCGTCCCAGCATCAGTGAGGCGTTGGTTCCAAGAAGTGATGTAGAGGGTAGGACGGGAACATCTTTGGTGGGGGACGCAAAGTGATAACGACTGATAAGATCCGATAAGAGGCGCCAGAACGCCAATTCCGCGATATCCATAGCGCGCGTCCCCAGCATCAGTGAGGCGTTTGGTTTGAAGTGTTTGTGGGGGGGGGGTATCCCTACTACAATATAATCGGCTAAGCGTTAGTTCTGTTGTATTTGTTCTGACCGAAAATTCATAGGCTCTTTCGTTGCACGTTGAGCGCTTTTATTTTGACCAGATTAGTCCCCCGTCAACCGCCGGGACCTTTCTTTCCTGCGCAAGCTTTCTATCCTCCGCTATGGTCCCTTCCTCCTGTGACACCAACACCTCCTGGAAGTGACGCGTATGCAACACAATGGTGTTTCATACAGTAGAAGGGACACAATCATGATATGACGGTAGATTTTTCGCTTCCCTTCCTCATCCTCCCTTCCTCTCTCCACTGCCCTCCAGCTGCCACTGCAGCACCATGTGGAATGAACGGAAGTGTGCTAAGCAGGTGTTTATATAGCCCTAAGAGTGTTATCACAACTATCCTGCTACAAAACATTGATATCTCAAATCCTGTAAGCTACCCGATTTGTTAGCGGTTTGTTTATCCCATGAGCTTCCTTCTCACTCACTTCATTTTGCGGACGGACACACATACACATACACACACACGCACACACACACATACAGATACACAAACCGACACACAAAGTTAGCGCTTTATAAATAGAAGGATATGTTGTAGGGGTGGGACGGGAACATATTTGGTGGGGACCCAAAGTGATAACGACTGATAAGATCCGATAAGAGGCGCCAAAACGCCAATTCCACGATATCCATAGCGCGCGTCCCAGCATCAGTGAGGCGTTGGTTCCAAGAAGTGATGTAGAGGGTAGGACGGGAACATCTTTGGTGGGGGACTCAAAGTGATAACGACTGATAAGATCCGATAAGAGGCGCCAAAACGCCAATTCCCACGATATCCATAGCGCGCGTCCCAGAATCAGTGAGGCGTTGGCTCCAAGAAGTGATGTAGAGGGTAGGACGGGAACATCTTTGGTGGGGGACGCAAAGTGATAACGACTGATAAGACCCGATAAGAGGCGCCAGAACGCCAATTCTGCGATATCCATAGCGCGCGTCCCAGCATCAGTGAGGCGTTGGTTCGAAAGTGTGTTGGGGGGGGGTATGACGGGAACATATATGGTGGAAAAAAGAAAGGGATAACGGCTGATAAGGGCCGATAATAACGATATGCGCAAGAATATAGAGGTCACTCAAAACCAGACTTTAGATAAAGCATTTCATTTCAATATTCTTTCATTTGCGTTGTTATCATCAGCCCGAAATACCACTAAACCGCTATGCCCCCAGAGTTCCTAAAAATGTATGGTGTAAGTTCAAAAATACGCCTTTTGATTTTAACATCAACATACAATCGATATCGCTCAGTTACAACTGGCCATTCGATGCATGTGGTTGTTTACAGACACCACTTTAGCTCCGCACTCCACTGCGCGTATCAAACGGTGAGCTTCTGCTAAGATAAAGAGCCTATGTTAGCGGTGAATCTAGCGCTTTGTCGGCTGTCCTGTCTCATCCCGACCTTCCGTTTAATGCGCGCGGTAGCGTGCGGCGCTAAACCCACTGTTAGGAGATAAGGAGGTTGAGAGCTGTCTATCAGATCGATACGGACCCCTAAGTTTTTAACTGATTCTCCTGATCTCCCATTCGCCTGACTTCCGATTCTCTTAATCTTCACCACTTGCTCCAAATCTTCAACTACCAAACACAGCAATCATGTGCTTGACATCCTTCAGCTAATCTCTAATAATCTCCAATCTCAACCTACTAAACTCCTCCAAAATCAAGACAATAATTTTTCAGCTTTGATCCCTAGTCTTCAACAAACGTTTTGCGCTATTCACAAAGATGGTGGACGCTGCGGCGTAACACATTCAAAGCCGCGTCAAACATGTTCGCTTTGACCTACGGACGGGACTAACCATAGGCCTTGGGGAGGAGCTTGGGGAGCAAACTTCACTTTCTACTAAATTCCTGAGTTTCTCCTTCTTCCTAGGCATAATCTCACGGCTGCCCCGTATCATGCGATAGCTTTGAACGTAGAGTGTGAATGCTCTTACAGCTATCACAAGAATGCTGGGTTTCGGCACTAGCTTTGGCCCCACCGGGCTCGTACCCGGATCCCTTGCCGGCAATTGGCTACCAGTTACCACCACGAGCACCACTGCACCCAAACTCAGCTTTTGATGGTAAAATACCATAGCATTATCTGCATGTGATGAACCGGTGATTCCAACAAAACAAGCTTCCTTACAGCGATGTCATCGACGTTTTTTATTATCGCCAAACAACAAAACATGTCGCTGAGACACGTTTATAACTTAGTTTGGTGTCCGAGAACTCGTCCACCTACGACGTGTCGCACTCCGTTTTGCACTCTTCCTTCACTCCGTCTTTGTTTTTGATGTCCGGATATTTCGCCTGACATTGTTGCATACATTTAGCCGTATCTTCTGCCTGGAATTGGTACAATACAGCAAATATTGCTTCGGTAAAAGGGTATTGGGTGCAGAATTAGTTGGGTGGAACACCTTGGTTTTGCGGATCACAAGAGGGCAGCGTTTATAGTTCGCGATGGTATATGCGATTAGGCGAGTACGCGAAAATTAACTGCTCGCCTAATCGCTTAATTGCCTAATCAATTCGTATCCTGGCTATCGTTCTGGGGGGGGGGGGGAGTAAATTGGTTGAAGCGGCAGGCCCACCAGTTTTGCATCATTCTCACTACTTCCGTAAAACTTTTACCAATTCGACAGAGACCCTTTCACGCACAACCCTCTTTAACAACCCCCCGTTCCTACTACCTTGCTCAACCTCAGAAGGTGACCCCTTCCTGAATTCACAAATGTGACTTCCTCGTTCGATAGTGCGAAGGGACTGTTGAATCTGGTGGGAGGGGGGAGGGAGTGGGTGCGACGTTCAAAGGAGTGGAGTTGGGACCTGAACCCGCTCTGCCGATACTCTGTTTTTGGGAATAAACCTTAGGAAGGGAAAGGAATTCTGGGATGCGGGCAGTTTTTGTTCTTCCAAGCCTTTCTCCCTCTTATGGGCTCAGCCCTAGTGTCACCTACCAGTGGGGTTTTAATTGCCATGTTTTAAACGCCCTCCAAGATGATCAGCGCCAGTATCCTTTTCCTTACAGTAGGTTGATCTCCTAATCGCCTAATCATTTATCGAATTTACGATCGCGAACTCTGAACGCTGCTCAAAGGCACTGGTTGGGATTAGGCTACCAAAAGAACCCGCTTTGTCGATACTATGACTGGGTCTGCAACCATAGGGCTGATGGCGCTCTTGTGACTCGAAACTGCGCGGCTATAACAACCCTGGTCTAGCATTTAGGACGTGAGCCATGCGCCCACCGCCAAGACCTCTTGCGTGCTTCGGCATAAAGGCGTGAACCAGCTGTTTGATTACTGTACTCAAGCCGCTTTCACGGGCTATCATTGGTTGGCATGTCCGAAAAACTCGTTCGGACATGCACTCCTCCTAACGATAAGCCAGCCTCCTTCGCCACTGCTGTTCCGAGAGCTTTTATTCTCGGTCCCGTCGACGGCTTCTTCCCGTTTTTACTTCACTGGCGTTCCATTTCGCATATCTGCACTCACATTCGAGCGGCAAAAAATACCCCAAGCTGCAAACAGCCGGCTGCGTGTCTTTAACTGCGTAAGCCGACTGTCGACGAAACTCTAGGAAAGAACAAACTTGTTAGTTTGCTAAGTCACCATATCCGCCCGACCGAGCTTGCCTTATCATACTAAAAGTGAGCGCCCGACCATAATGCCCGCGATCCACCCAAACTACTGTTCACCGAAGGAGTCCTGCACTGAGGGGCTCTCTCTGTATGCACTGCTATTGAAGAAAAATTGATAGATCCATGCTTACCAAGACTGTCGTAGCAAGGCAGATCACCAAAAGGAGGATCCAATGCAGAAGTTTCATTTGTCTGATCGGACTGATCTACAACGATGTAATCCTGAAACATTACTGAGTAGTGATACTTATCGAACTGGGCGCTATCGCAACATACGGGGGCATCCTTCAGAACTGAGCCTAGGAGGTGCAGGAGCTGCGGGGAAAACGAAAATGGCTAACGCACCTTAGAATCTCTTCATTCCCGCCTAAAGAGATAGTCTCGTTTCTAGAGAAAAGACACGTTTTGCGCAGTTTAAATGCACTGCCACCACAATGCCCCTGCATATTGCGATAGCGCCTCGAACTGAAGCAGTCAGGTAAACACGATGCCAATTGTTGTGGAGATACTTTTAAGCAGAGCGAAAGAGGCGATCATAAGTGATTTGTGGAAACCACCATTTTGCGACTCACAGAAGAGCAACACTGGCTGCATCAGGCGAATCAGTTTTCCCGGACACGTGTCACCTTATCACTGGGAAGTTTGCAAGTTTTGTCCTGACGAAGCCTAAACCCTTCCGAATGCGTTTGAAATCGTCAAAACATGAGGAAACACCGACATGAGAAACAAGAATAGGCGCTCATGTCGTTAGGGGGGACATTGAAATGAGTGGGCCACTGATAGAACTTGGGACTAAGCTTTAGGGAGGGGATAGGATTTTGAGAGCAACCATCGTTCTCTCTTGTATTTATTCCCAGTCCTGGGCTTAGTCCTAGTGTCACCTACCAGCGGTTTTTGAATGCTCTGCTCTGAATGTCCCCCCTAAGGACATGAGTGCCCAAGAATATCTTACCAGGAACGGTCTTTCAGGGCGTGCCAAGCTTTTTCAGAACGGTATTTTGCATTGTATAGGGGCACATGTAGGAACCACAGAACCCTGGTAATTTTTCCTGAACGGCCCTCTAAATACCAAAAAGGGGTCCCTGGATCGATTCCTCGTGGTGACAAATTTTTGCATTTCGAGTTGACGCTTCAAAATTCGTGCAAAATGGAGTTAGCATAAACAGTGTATGCCATACTAATAAGTACCGTCGCATTTTACGTGAATTCGAAACGAAAACTCGAAATGCAAAAAATTTGTCACCACGAGGAATCGATCCAGGGACCCCTTTTCTGGTATTTAGATATTATATTATATTCCATTCAGGAAAAAATAACCATGGTTCTGTGGTTCCTGCATGTGGTCCCTATATCATGCAAAAGACCGTTTTCAAAAAGCTTGCACGCCCTGAAAGATCTTCCTGGTTAGTTCAAGTGGCACAAAGGGGTAACTGATGGCCCGAAAATCACACATAGAAATGACGTCAGCGACTAAAAACGATCCAGTGCCTTTTGAGGATTCGTCCCAAGATATTTCTATTCACATAATCATTCGATGAAACATTATTGGTTGGTCCAGATATTTGTTCATATTATAAAACAAATGAGAAATTGGCTGCTGCTAGCTATTTTATAACGGGAACCCCTGTGTAGGCGGCCAGCGGCTCGCTTGCCAAGCGCTAAATTCGGAGATTGACCAGGAAATGCTTCCCACTTCCCATTTAACTATGGATGGAGACTGGGTTGAATCAATGGAGTAGTGAATGCTAGTTGCAATTATTGGTACCAAAACTGCTACTTGAACATTCCCAGCAAATCGTGGGCGGTCAAAGTTGACAGGAAGGGTAGCGTCAGCATAGGAGGCGAGCTAATCTGACCGCATCGGCGTTTTTATTTTTTCCTGGAACAGTACCCATAGGGGTAAACGGATGGCCTGGTCACGAATATGACATGTATTATGAAGTAATGGCGGTTCTGGACCAGTTTTGAGGTGTCCAACATTACTTTTTGCGTTTCCTCGTTGATCTGGACTTTTATCTCTGCTAATCTTATTTTATTTAACTTGCCTGGAAATGAAGGGGAATGCTTCTAGTGAATTGGATGTGAGCGAGTCCTTCACTTTTCTATCGTGAATTTCTGTAAGAGTGTCTCCGTTCCGTCCGTGTATGGTCACGTCTCAGAGCTGTGTTCGCATTGGTTCTTTGCCGATAGCTTCCATTATGACATGTTAACGTGATATGGTTCCTCACCAGTCGATGTCATCGCGGAATATTTTTTTTTTCATATTCGTATTCAAACAACTGTATCTTTAACTAATTTCTGCTGAGTATATGTTATAATAAATGCTTTATTCATTGATCTTTTGCTTTTCTCATACACTGAAGTTGCGTCCTTACAGTTCCCACTGCCATGTCGCATTCGACTGGCACTCCTCGCTCAGTGGCCTCCTGTTCTTTGATTTTTTCGTGATATTCGCCTGACAATTGTTCGATGTACTTAAATCATGTATTTCTGCCTGGAAATAATGGTTGGGTACACAAATATTGGCTCTGGGAAAATGATCTTGGTTGCATGAGTTGGCTTGGTGCTAACACACTTGGTTCCAGTTCGCGCTGGGGCAGTGTTCATACTTCACTATGGTATATGCGATCAGGCGAGTAGGCGAGAAGAAAACTACTCGCCTAATCGCCTAATCAATGCGTATCTTGGCGCTGTCGTTGCGAGAGGGGTGCGACGTATAAAAGAGTGGACCGACCATTGAAGTACATGAAACTGAACCTTAGAAAGGGGAGGATTGCCTAGGGGGTAAAGGTAGGGGCTGATCTTTGTTTTCGCCTGAGTTTTCTCTCGTCCTCCTTCCCTAGACTTATGTCTTACAAGCAATAGGTCCATCTCAATTGGCACGTGCCAAAGCTTTCAAACCGTCCTTTTTGCACTACCGCACTATAGACCGGCATCGCGGAACCGCCCAGCAGAACCATCGCTATAAATTTTCCTGACCGGCCGCCTCCTGATCACCCAAGACAAAGCGGGCGTCCTTCGTCATATCTTTTTCACCCCAGTCTTCAACCTCAATCAAAGTCTATTTGTAAGGGTCACTGACGTTCCAAATCATGAATTTGGTACTAATTATTCATGCTAACTCCATTTTGCGCGAATTTGGAAACGTCAACACGAAATGCAAAAATTTTTGTCACCACGAGGAATCGAACTAGGGACCCCTTTTCTGGTATTCAGAGAGCCGTTCAGGAAAATGAACCATGCTTCTGTGATTCCCCATATGTGCCCCAATGTCATGCAAGAAACCATTTTGAAAAAGCTTGGCACACCCTGAACGACCTCCTCTTGTTAGTGTCACCTTAGCCAGCGTATCTGAAATTGCCCTGTGTGAATTCCTCCAAGGTAATCACCGCCCATATCCTTTTCTTCATAGGCTGATCGCCTAATCGCCCAATCGTCTAACCGCATGTACGATCGCGAACTCTGACACGCTGATTAACTACTAAGGACGGATGGTCGAGGAACTCTGAGGGAAATGAAATTTGCTTCACGCTTCGCGTTCTCCCTTCTACTCCAAAGCTTAGGCTGATGCTAGACTTTGCGAATAAAGCGATTCGGGTAGTGAATCGCTGCCGAATCGCTTGGAACGACGTCGCAGCAAATTGATCGATCTATGTTCCTGCTGATACGAACCGCTCCTGTAACGCCCTACCTGCGATTTCCGCCATAGCACTATCCGGCTGGATTCGCGAACGCTCGACAACTGGCACGCTGCTCTTAGCCGCTCCTGCAAAAGTGGAGCGGCGTACGCTCACCCGAGCTTACCCGCCTTACCGGAGGGAGCAATGACATTGCGGGTGAACTTGTGCGGAGTCCCTCCCGTTCAAGACTATCTGTTAATCCACCAATTTGGTTAAGCCCCTACGTACGTGCTCCTCAGTCGCGCGTAACAATCTTCACTTGACTTATCTGTGCAGTGAAAGTCTCGTAACCAGCCCTATGCGGTCTAAGCAACGTTGCGGAGACAGAGCTTAAAATAGCGGATTAACTCCCAAAGGGTGTAACCTCGTGTTTTTTTTTTATACTGTTCGGTTAACTGGCGCGCAATTCCTATTCCCAATTTTTGCGCGAGAGCCACTCTACGTTATGCCTCGTGGAATTATTGTGCCTTTGAAGGAGCGAATCAATAAAACATCTTTCCGCTTCCTTGAAGCGATCAGCTTTAGCGAAGGTGTCTAACAACCTCTAGCGCTGCCCACTTTATGAATCTTGGGCCGAATCGATGTTGTGGAATTGCAGATGTTCATCGGTGAGGTGATGTTCTGGCTGTTCTCCACGAAACCACGAAAAACAGTGTACGCGAACTGTGGCGAATGCAAAGTGCACCTGTTCACAAGGCGCCTTCTTCGTTTCATCGGTGAGTTTGAGCGCCAACGTCGCAAACCTGAGGTACCAATAAGTCTCTAATTGCAGCTGTGTTCTTGTGTGGAGCATTAGTGACGCAGATTTTCGTCGACACGATCAAACTGATGACCGGCTATCAGCGACCATATTTTCTATCGCTGTGCAATGTCTCTATCAGGTAGTGTGTCCTTTAGTCTCATTACCTTCTACCGTAATCCGCAGTCAAATAGTAATGATTCGATTTAGTGCCTGCACGGCACCATTGGAACATTCGCCGTCACCGTCACCCCATCTGGCGTGCAACTTCCGAGGGGCTGATGAGCTCCGGTACGCTTGGCTCACTTTCCCGTCACTACACGCCGCCTTTTCCAGCTACTCTTGTATATTCGCATCGGTTTGTTTATTTTTCAGTTACATTTGATTTCGTAGATCTATAGCTTCACTTTTGTGAATTGAAAAGCGCAGAGAACCTACATAACCTCCCTTCAAAAAGCGAGAAAGTGTCGGGTGCAGACCAAACACCACAACTGACGACGGCCTCCAAGTAAATCTGGTTAGAAGTTGGTGATAGCTGATTTCTGGTAAATGATAGTTGTAATTAGTGACAATCGATAGAATACAACTGCAACAGGCTAATCATTTCATTGGCAGAAAACATTAACATTTTGTGAAGGCCGTCGTCACTTGTGGTGCATGGTCTGCACCCGACACTTTCTCGCTTTTTGAAGGGGAGGGTATTTCCGTTATGAGCACAGAACTGTTCCAAGGGGCTTACTGTGAGTACGCAATTGTCACTCCAAGAATTTAATTATTCTCTCCGTCCTTGCGCCAAATCAGAAATGTATAATAAATTCATAATATTTCGAGTTTGCGATACT